TATTATTAATAAATAGTAATACGTTATATTTTTCATTTTTCTCTTTACTACCGTACCATCATATTATCTAGCCAGCTTCTCAGTGTTTTTCGAATCATTTCTACACTGCATTGCCTAAGTGCATTTTGTCCACAAAATATACATAATGATTGCCGCGCGAATGGGTTAAAATGAAAAGAAAAAAAAAAGAAGAAGGAAAAAGAAAAGAGGCAAAAACACCTTGCTTCGTTCTTTCGACGAATACTTTGTCGGTATGACAATGAAACGCACTCTTGGGAAATTTTCTCCCCGTATAGCACGTCGCGTCATCTCATTTAAACGTAACGCGCTCCAATTACAATGTTTTTGCTACCAAAATGAACAAGTCTACTTCCCTCCCCTCTCCATGTCCATGAAGAATATCAGGAATTATGTCTATCCGCGTTCTAGTCTTGCAACTGTGAATCGGTGTTGTTTTCCACCAGCTTTTTTTCTTTTTGCGCCGTTTTCTTGCACCTACGCGAGGAACAAGTCGTACTCGACAATCAAATTGCATTTCGACAATCATGAATTTGTTTTTGTCGAAAGTGATTTTACGTCGTGTAACAGGTGAGAAACAGAGGACACACTTTCCTCGAAAATTGTAAAAATTCAAACGCGTGTAGAAATATGAAAAAAAGTTTTCCTTGCGACTAAATCTAGCACGGTCTCGCAAGGTTGAAATTTTTTCCCCTTTACAACAATCTCTTAAAATTCGCTATGTGATTTTTTTTTCATCATCTTCGAATTTTTCTCATTTAATATTCAGCGTTGAATAAAACAGTAAAGAAAAAAAATTGCGGAACAAGTTTTAGGGATTCTTCCATCTTCAAAGCGATGGATATTTTTACACACGTTTGGATCATTACAACTTTCGAGCAAAACGTGTCCTCAGTGTCCCATCCGCTACGCGACGTAAAATCACCTCATAACCATTAAAATAGAAGCTTCGCTTTTTAAAATGGATTATCATATGATCTCTTTTTACAAAGTTATATCAGTTGAAATTTTTCATCGTCAATTGCTACAATTATGCTCTTCATTGTCATCCCCTTTCAACCATAGTCTTCCAATTCTACGTTCGTATCGTTGATCCCGTCACAGAAAAAAAAAACAAATTACGTTTAACCAATTGCCTCCTTTAACAACCCGTTTGATCGTGAAACGTTTCTACAAAGACAATCTATTGCGAACGAATCTGCCGGATAATCATTTGCCTTTTATGATTCCTCCGTCATCCGTCCATAGAAAAGCGCGTTTCTAGCTGAAGTTTCTTCGACTGACTAATCGGAAAAGACAAAGAAATTCGGCGCAGAGAGGAACGATGTGCTTTTCACGATGTTCGGGCCAGTGTTTACAGCGGTAAATAAAGGCAAGATCGCTATTCCGAATGCACGTTCGAAATACAGCCCTAGATAAATTTTACGACGCGCGTAAAGCGACGTGGAAGCACCAGTCAACGTTACAACGAAGTTTAATAGCTCGCGAGCAAAGCGTGTCCCGCGTACTTGTTAGACTAACGCGTTGATAACGCGAAATGTTATTTGGAGGAGAGATAAGTGACTTCCGAATTTCACCTCTCTCTCTCTCCCTCTTTCGTACAAGGTTTCGCGAGGACTTTCAGCAAAGATGTTGATTCCTCTAACATACCAAAGTGTGAATCACCGAATTCGAAATCTGGCATAAATATAGTTTTCAAAAAGATGTTTGATCCGTATTTTTTTTAATCGTCGATGTTCAAGGGACAAAAACTAACCTCAAAGTCGGGGGTGCGGTACACATTTTATCAAATATCCATTTTTTGTGTAAATTCACAGAATTAGTACCATTTTGCAAAAAAAAATCCTTTGTTTAAACAATATATTTAACCGTATTTTTTTATAAGTTTCCCCGAGCGAGTAACGATAAATTTTCTTGAATATTTCTTTGTGAAAACTATATGTTCAAATACAACCTACGGGTAAAATGGGATCTAGATTTTTGCGTTGTAGAAAAATTCATTGCTACGAAATCTTTCTTACCGGAAGGTGTATACTAGAATTGTCTTCTGCCCGTAAATATGTTGCAAAATGTTAAATGTCAAAGACATGATTAATCACTCAGTGTAATCTTCGCACTAAAGGTGTTCAAGTATAAATGTTTTTTACACCACTTTAAGGCAACAACTTTATCACAGTCGTTGCAGGTCGGTATTCACCGACTGGACTGAAAAATCAGATGCAACTGTTCCCTGCGAAAAGGACATCGAATTTGACGGAGAAACATCAATTTTGAATGATACCTTTTGTTTTTAGGGGTGGAAGGATATCGAAGGAAAGATTCAGCAGTTTAGAATTAGACGGTTTAGTTGATCGATCGCATTGTTCCGACAAAACTACTACGAGAGCGAATTGGAAATGGCACATTTGAGCGGAAAATTGCTTTCCACAAAATTGGAAGCATACGCAGAGTACGCACAGTATATGAAAAACTTTCGCGATGTTTCCAGCAGATCGTTTCAAAGCGACGACTTTAACACGGGTTGTAACTACGGCCAGATAAGTGTTATTTACTCTCGTTCCTAGCGCGATGGCGGCCACTAATTAATGACGAAGATGTAGATAAATCCCTCGCGTCTATTCTGCGTCAACGCTTCAATTCGAACTTGTTTAATGCTTCGATGGGTCGTAAACTTTCAGCGATACGAATCTCCCACGAAGAGAATGTCAGAAACTGTTGATTATTTTATAAAATGTCGAAGAAGTCGAAGTAGTTGCAATGATCATAGCTTCACCTATCACTATGAAAAAAAAAAAAAAAAAATAATGAAATACGCTTGCATTGATTTTGTTGAGTTGTCCAATTTTCGTTTGCCACGTTAACACTAAAACTATCGATGAAAAAGTATAATATTTGTAGCGAAGAAATTAAAGTGCAAGATACAAGAAAGAGTTAATGATACAATGGAAAGGATACATTTGCTTCTATCAATACATTTTATTAAAAATCACTCAAAGAGTGTTCTAAAAATACACCGTTGTAAGTATATATAAAATTTCCACAGAAAATTAGAAATTTAAGATCATTTTAACCACATCTGGTAGCTTCTAGCTTTTAAAGTCTACTTAGCAGCCACCATTTTCTAACTCCGAACAATATTGGCAATATCAGCCATGATATTTTCATCAGGTGAATATTCGAGGCAAGCCGAAACGATAGCGCGCGTCTGGATACCAGAGGTATTAACAAACCCGAAGCAACCGTAACGTAACTTGTGGCAGCAATTTTCGAGCTCGGTAGATCCATCGCGTCGGTTTCACGGCTGTCGGATCGGCCACTAGAGCAGTCGATGTGAGGCTGAAAGGGATTAACGAAGTAAGCGAGTCTAGGTGAACGGCACGCATCAAGATCGACCCAGTTCCGGATAATAATAAGTCGCGGCAAGTGGAACGGATCGGCTGGATAACGTATCGAGGCGCTCGCAACCATAAGTGTCGACCGCTACACCGTTCGTGCGCACGCTCTCTCGAATCACGCTCTTAATTTTTGCCCGCCTGCAGATAAGCGCGAACCACCAGCCAACTGCTTCGACAAACATCAAACGAGCCAAATCTAAACGAGCCTTCTTAAGATCACCGATACGTAATTTTTCGTATTTATCCTCAGGAGGGATAATAAATTTATTTTGCGCAAGAACAAATCTCTCAAGACGTGTCTTTGATTTAGCAGCGGACAACGTTGTTGTACATTTGTAAGTTTCCTCGATTGTAATACTTCCTATGAAACATTCAGGTTCGTCGTGAAATATCTCACGCGACACAGACAATAATTAATCCTTTTTCTTTTCTCAGACGGTTCACCCTCGACTCTAGAGGAAATTTCGGTCTAGCGAGATCTGGCGCCGAGCTCGCAGTCTCGCTTCAAACGAAAACCATTTAACCAGAACGAACGAGCCCGCCATGCTAGTCGAATGAA